ACCCCTACTTGCCTGATCTAAGCAAAACCCATAGACAAAATTGCAATAATTGAAATTGGAAAGAATTAGGGATTCACACAATTTTTTTTAGTGATCTGTTTAGTATGTGTCTGTTATTATACAAAACTTTTAGAGAACGAAATGATTTTTGCATAAGATTTTTCAGGTGATCTTTAAATCTAAGCTGAGAATCTAAAACTATACCAAGATTTTTTTTACTTTCAACAAAATTCAATTTTGTATTATTAGCCATTATATTGAGATTAGCTTTCAAAAACTCAGTCTTAGATTTGGTACCAAAAATCATTACATGCGATTTTTCCGGATTAAGTTTTAAGTTGTGGCATAATGAGAGATTGTCCTCATTTATACAATTTTCGTAACATTTGTAATCCTCAATATCAAAAAAACAATAAACCTGGGTGTCATTCGCGAAGGCCTGAACTTTACAAAACTTTAAAGACGTAAGGATATCAGATGTATGAATTAAAAATAACAAGGGGCCCAATATTGATCCCTGAGGAACTCCCGATAGCATCGCCGCTTTGTCTGAGAATGTGTGATTTGATAGAATCGATTGATACCTTCCTGTCAAATATGATTTTAAGAGCAAACATGCTTCCTTATTAAAGCCATAGTACCGAAGTTTAGCTACCACCAATTTATGATTAATGGTATCAAAAGCTTTTGAAAAGTCTAGAAGTACCAAAACTGAACTCATCATTATCTATGTACGTATTGTCATCGAGTATGTTTGTTAGAGCCACTGATGTACCAAAATTTTTACGAAAACCACACTGGGTACCACGAATAATATTGTTACTCATACAAAAGTCATAAATTTGTTCGTACAGCACTCTTTCAAATATCTTTGACAAAGAAGGAAGTATATTTATCACACGATGTTCGTCAAAACTTGATGGATTAGTTTTTTTGGATAATGGTTTTCCTATGGAGATATTCCACTTGTCTGGAAAGTAGCTTGTTTCAATGGACCAGTTTATAATATGTTTATATACTTATCTATGTACGGACTACAATATTTTAACATTAAGGGCGAAATATCATCAATGGTTGCCAAATACTCGTAATGTATGCTAAAATTTTGTTGACTCTGTGAGAACGGTACAATCTTAAAAGATCTGCTCTCAAATTCAGGTCAGCCGTGGCCTGGCGGGACTTTTGTAATCATCATTGTGATCCATATTTTTATTATTATTATTCTTTATTTAGCTGCATGAGTTGTGCAAACCATAAGGGGTCACATTCGACATTGGTTTCTGCTCAGCGGCCTCTTACACACTCTCAGCTATCAGTGACAACACCGTTGACACCATTAATATGCTTTGTACCTGAACAAAAATAACATGAATCAGACTCTGATTTCACATTAAAGTAACCGTTTGTTGTTGTTGTTAGTGGGCTAGACGACTTGGTCAGGGATTATCGTGCCCGTGGAAAAAATTTCTCACTATAATAATATTCAAGACATTATACAAAAGATGAATTTACCAAAATATGAACCGTTTTCATTTGAATCGACAGAAAATCTTAGAAATTGTAGTGGCGAGCAAGATAAGAGGTTTCACCAGGATATTTGCACAATGGAAAAGGGAGGTTGGACGTACATATATTATGATCTCTAATTAGCTGGAATCTTCATCGGGATCTGAAACAGGTAGCTCGTTCACGAAAATTTTATCAGAAATACAGTATCTGTTTAGTATGAAGTGTATAAATAGACATACTTTTGTAATTGTTTCCAACCTGAGTGCAAATTGAAAAACCAAAGCTACTAGAAGAAAAAACATCAGTGCCATTTTCTTAACGAACACACTCATTTAATTTATGTAAATCAAATGAAAACACCCTGGAATATGTTTCATTGTTGACCAGCATTATTACTGTTAGGTTTTTAGTAAACCCAAGAACTGTGACTGCACGACAATCAGGGGTATTACGTAACTTGAAAAGTGACATTATGTCGATTTTTTTTACATTGTTTTGTTTTTTGGTTGGTTAAGGAACAGGTGAGAAAATATGCCACTGACAGGAATATTATGAAAGTGAAAAGTCATTTAAATTTTACAAATAGAAATTTGTTTTGCCATGTCAATAGAAAATACAAAACAGCGTCTAGATGTGAGGCGTTGCGAAAATGTTTGATGTGTGATACATCATTCCTAATTTTTTTGTGATGTGGCTTCATTGCACAAAGCGCGGGTACAATGAGGATGTCCCGTAGAGCTCCTCATATTTTTCGAAAGCACAAAAAACGGAAAAAATCGTAATTTATAACTTTGACCATGACCTGTCTTTAGAAAGGACAACATTTAAATAATCCGTCGGGCACAGCAAATCGACATACTTCATTAGCAGCATATCGATTGCCCGGAGATGTCTCAAAAAGACCCAGAGCTAATCAAACTTGTCTTTTGAGAGCTATGAAGTTTGCAGCTAAACTACTACTTTTAAAATGTACTGTACTGTATTTCGGCGTTTATCGTGACAAAATGAGATACTTTGGCATCATTTATGGGAATTTGTATGGCTATGTCTCTCCTCTCCGCAATAATTAGAAGTCTACTTTGACAAGGATAGTGTACGAGTGACAGAGTTGTAGTCGATTATATGAGTTTTTATGAGCGTATGGATGGCTACATAGCCATTTTGCCATATGTGCGAGACTAACTTTTCCAAAGTAGATTTAATTACTGAGTAGTAGAGAAACATCACTGCTACAACCTCTCATAGGTGTCGCCTGGGTACCTCATTTCATCTCGGACACTTTTTTGGACGCCGTACATGGTTGGCTTTGTTCCGACAGAATTCGATAATCAATTAATGGTAATCGGTACAGATATTACCACGGTATACTTTTTCGTCTTGGCTCATATATTTGAACTGGAAGACTTCCCAAATGTTCTGTTTACTCGCTCAAACTGTGCAAATGTGCTAACATAGTATTTTCCCCTTTTTGACTATTTCCATAGTCCTATACGTTGCTTAGTGCATGTGTTTGAATACTGATGTCATAGGTCTTTCAAATTGCGCATGATTATTGCTACTTTAAATAACACGGTAGCTGAGTGCTTCGTGAATATGAATCGGAGTCCAGACTGCTATGAAAGCAGATCGGTTGAGAAATTTTGAATATGAGTAATTAGTTATCATACATACATATTTATACTTTTACCTCTATATATAAGGTGTTCGGTATACGTTTTGTCTTGGAGCATATATTCCATCCTTGCAGTTCACGTCTTTTCTATGAAAAATGTTATATTACACATTGTTTGGTGTCACTTGGACTGTACCTAGGGAAAACTGCAGGTGTCATTTCACTTCTTTTTATCGTGTAGATTACGTTCAGAAATTGCTCCTCGAAATGACAAAATACACATTATTTCAAGACACCCGCTATATAATTTGTCGCTATAGAAATATATAGCACTTCCCACATCTAGTGTTGATGATATAGGCCAAGAGTCTAAGATGAAAGCAGTTTCTTTTCGAGTATAGTTCCATTGTAATAAATACCTTACTCTGACTTTATCTATTGTAGAATAAAAAAAACAAAGCCAGCACTTACAAGAAATGATTTTCCTTTGGGAAGAGTAGTACAGAAAAATCAATCAAGTCAGTATTTCAAACATTTTAAGTACGTCGCTACCCTATATATTCAAGCTACTAATTGGTTCTGTGCCTTTTCGTTTTCGTATTGTTGATAATAGACTCATTTTATAGCTGATAATAGCGACATCTTCACACAAAAAAATGAAAGCCTGCTGAAGGACCATTCGCTTTTGCCTTTCATAGTGTTGTTAACAATTTGTTTTGGTTCAAAAGTTGTTCTTGATCAGTTCTTGTATTGTCTTAAAAATCCGCCGTTAATGGGTTTTGCCTACAAATGATATCTGCACGGATATTACGTAAAAAACCAGAATTCGTCAAAAAAACCTATAAGGTGTCATCTTGCAGACTAGTCTTTTTCCACTTTTGCTCACTAGGATTGTTGTGAGCGTCCATCTATGGAGAAATGACTCTACTACACGTACACGCATTGATGGTTGCATACGCTTTGTGAAGCTGAGTGGTCTATAGTTTTCATCTCTGAGTCTCTGAGAAGAAAGTTGGTTATTTGGTTGAATAGCAAGATCGCATCTGGATGATTGTCTGCATGTGCCTAAAATCAGTGATATTTGCTGTGTGAGAAAATCATAACTTAATATGCTGCCCATGAAGTACATCTATTAGGTGTGCCCGATAGGCTATTTATATGTTGTCCTTTCGGAAGATAGGTTCAAAGTTACCAATTACGATTTTTTACGTATTTTTGTGTTTTCAAAAACTTTGGGTAGATTTACGGGAAATCACCACCGCGCTCGCGTTGGGTGTAGTAACTGTTAGCATGTATATACTGTTGCATATGTAATTTCCAGAATGGATAAGAAAAAGTGGATGCGCAACTAATTTCTAGCTTTGAATCTCATGTAAGTGTATCTGAGATAAGAATCCAATGGTATTATCATCAACACATATTATACGCACACGAATCCTCACTATGCCGTTACCTCCAGTATTGCCATCTCTAAAGCAGATTCTACGTTACATAATAGCCAAACATTGATAACTGAAGCCGCATGACATTTAGGCAACACGTACAACTACAAAACGAGTTTAGAAAGGTGTCCATCAGCTAGTGCTAAGTAAACATCTTGTCGAAAAACCTACATAAAGTTTGAAAAAAAAACGATATAACGTCAAGATACGAAATACCCGTGCGGACCACTATATTACGTTTCTTAAGGCATATCTGTCCTGGTCTATTTAATGTTTTGTACTGTTGTTGCGTCCACTAGATACCAGGCCATTTGACATTGCAAGGACCATGCCATCAATCTCGCGCAGTTTTTTACAAATATCTTATTCATATCAGTTTATCGAGGTAACATACAAAAGACGCGACATATGCTGAACATTTATATCATATAAATAACCAACGTACATAAATGTAGTGAGCATCAATCATCTGAAAAAAATATCTTCTAACCAGATTTCCGGGAGGATTATCATTGTAGTGGACTCTGCTTGCTTATGTAAGTTTGACAAGCACTATCCAAACATTCCGTTGAACGTCGCGGTGTATTAGTCGTAAGCCTTAGAAATAATGATGTTAGGCTTGTTTCTATTTACCTAGTTCTATACTACTGAGAACATTGGAATTTGGTCTAAGGTATACAGTAGGAGTCGGTAACAGTCGTTTATTAAATGAAAAAGATTATTAATCTAAAGGCATACAATAACTTAAATAATTATTAACGTTACAATCAACACAAAAATCCATACGTGGACACTTGCCACCCTTTCCAAAAGCAAAGACGCCAAAAGCAAACCAAAGTTAACTAGTTTACCTTATTTTTAAAAAAAAATCTGCTGCGTACGTTGGAGGTCTAACTGAACAGTATAATACATGAGTGATTTTCCTTTTCGTTCGAATTGCCTTTAGCTCAATATCGGTTCATTGAACTTTAGCTTCTGAAACATCTCTAGAATCAGACAAAAATATCCATATTTTCCATCATTGTACAGGAAAGAAACAGTAATTAATCCTCTGTAGGTGTCTGCAAAAATTGAGCTCCTAAGGTACCTAAATATTCTTAACTGTATATTTATTTATCCTGATAAACTCTGTTAGCATCCGTGTATGATCCTGAATGTACAGAATATACTAAGCTTTGTGAGGTGTTAGCTAGTATGAACCCAATTTTTTATTCATACGTCTCATTCAGCGTATTTCATACAAAAAGACCGAAGAACAGTGATAATTCAAAGTTCAAGAGTACCTTATACATCGTACAAGTGTTATCTGAGCCAGAATGACTGGGTTCCATAATAACCATTCATCTCACAACATTCATAACTACTACTAATGCGATTTGGCTATTTTGTGTCATCGCAAAGTACGATGACAGATTATACACAATCGACAGTTACTGTCTCTCCCTTTGATATTCGTGTCCCCAACTGTTTGGCGCATTCCCTGCCTAATTCCATGGGCTTCCGGGGAATTCTTCCCAGGGGTGGTTACGCTACATTAGCCTGAGGTCACGAATGTTATACGTCAGCTACGGAGGCAAGAAAATCGTTTGTCCTCGTGCATTTAGGCAAGATTATATTTGAAGAGCGTTGTTTATTATAATAACCACCAACAACAGTAGAAGTAAGTGAATCGAATATCCCAAAATTTCACAATTACAATTGACAGTAAATCCTAGCAAACGCATAGAACTCAAGTTGGCGCACTACCAGAGACGACAGCCAGTCAAAAATTAGGTACGTTGCGTTGAGATTTCCGTCTCTGTCACTGAATCACATTCAATGATTTCGAAACGGCAGTTCATGCTTTAAAAAACGTGTGTGGTGTAATTTGAGGCGTTTCTCTCAAGAGATTGTCAAAGCTAAGTTTATTTAGTATTTAAGTGAGATATTAAATAGGTGGTGATACAAACATCATAGAGACCGACAGCTTGTAGCTATCACATCTGTATGTAATCAGAGATGTCAGGCCATGAAGCTACGTCACCATGCATCTCAATCTTCGTTAAATCTTATTGTCATCAATAAGGATGCTCTATGAAAATAAATAGTCTAGTGAAATGAGTCTAAGAGTCTGTCCAGATGATCGAGACCATAATCTAAACCCAGATGCATTCAGCTTGAAGTTATACCAGCAACATCTCTGTAAACCACTCAGAAACACTTCAGTCTCTCTCTAATCACAAGGGTTCACATTCTCCAAGATGAATAGTCTCTACAACGTTAGCATATTTCTCCAAGAACTGTTTCGGCATTGGAATGCCTCCTTCCAACAGTCGCATGGTCCATGCAACTACAGTAAACGTGACAGCGTTCACAGGGAAGGCCCTGATAAGTGTGGGTGTCAGTCCTTGGAAGAGGCACGCCACGCCGTCAGCCTTTAGGGACTTTTTGAGGCAGTCGTAGGATGATTTGTAGCGGGAGTCGACTTGCATACGGGTTTTCAAGACATCCGCGGGGTAGGAGATCAGCCACGTGAACACACCTGAAATGAAACCAAGCATGAAGTTTAGCTGTTAAAGGCAAAAGTTTTATGAAAGATTTTGTGCTGAAATGTCTACCCGATTTTGATGTCTGATGCATGAAGCAGCTAATAAAAAGTTCATAATGTACAGACTTGAAATTCGCAATGATATCTACAGTTTAGTTGGACGGTTCAACAAAACTGAAATTGTGAATTTATCCAGAGATTAAAATGTTAATCAGGAAAAAATGTATAGGGCAATAAGAGACTAAAAAAGAGGTATACCCTGCAAGACCTCATATTTTATCACAAAACAGGCTTAATAGATTGGTAGAAAGCCCTAAGACAAGATTGGAATATCTAGGTGATGGCTAGGTCGCCGAATTAGTGTCTTGTTCAAAAGTTTGCAGATGATTCTGTCGACAAATGACATGCGTTTCGCCAAATATACTCAGGCACAGCTCGGAATAATCCCTCGATGTTGCAGGCCTCTGTGGCGTAGATATTTTGTAAAAAACCGCGTGATGATGGAAGTTATTGTATGCTGTTGCATTCAGAAACAAAAGTCAAGGATGGAGCAAATTATGATATACATTTGCTGACAAAGTTTCAGCCTGGTGCGTGATCTCTGAGGCTGGGACTTCAGCACTCTATGTTGGACAAGTTCAAACAGACGCTGTGGCCGACGGACAGTGGTCTATCTATGAAAACACCTGGCAATAATAAAAAAACAAAGCATCTAGAATGAATGAAAATTATTACCTACTCTCAAGTTAATACAATAAGCAATCAGTTGGCCATGGAATCAGAACCTTGCTTACACCTTCACCATAGCAGAGTATTGAACACTGCTCTTTAGCGGCATAATTGGCGATTTTTTTCATCCGTTTTTAGTGTGTTGATGATATTTTAGCATTTGAATATGGATCATAATAAAGCGAGTAGGAAATTTCATTTGATGTAACAAAAATTTGTGGTTATTGTTGTTTTCATGTACTCCATGAATTGAACGGATTACTATTTTTAGCTTTACCTTTTTATATTAGTATTATTCGAGAAGTTTTAAATAAGTTTCCGCCCATTGCCCCAGTTGAAATAAATGATGTTTGTGAACATTGGCGTACTGCCCGTATGATTGCCTTCCTAGGGACAAACTGGTCTGATTTTGAATCAACGACCTATATGACAAGCCCCTGGACTCAAATACTGGACATTTTTGGAATTTGTCTTGTCTCCTTTAAATGACCTTCAGATGCCCTGATCTATGATTCGGACCTGGTGAACATAAAAATCTAAATGACATGCAGTTGGGCTCGATTGCTCGACTTCTTTCGAAAATGACCTTGAACTGAAATAATTTAAATGCTCTCACAGAGATAAACTAATCCTAGATTTGGGATCATCGACTCAAAAACGCGAATGTACTAAAAATCGTATTAATACTGTAAAAATTGTATTTTTTGCTTGCTTTTCAGTGGTTCTTGACCACCAAAACTTCTTAACCTCATTAGCACCCATCATCACAACGACGATAACATTATATTTTAGCCTGACCTAGCTTCATGTCACTCTGCCAGGTGAGCTGGGGATTGGTTGGAACAGAATAACGTCAGCTATGTGCCAAGAGAGGTTGGCCTCTCAAATGTACCACAATCAATCAAAAAAAAGTTTATGACAACGAAAGTAAAGCCCAAAATGTAAAACAATTGAGGGCGCGCATTTTTAAAAACATTCCAAAGAAAGATGAGTATGAGAATAAATTACATGCTATTGCGATTCATGGTCAACAATCATTCTTATAGATCCGCTTTCGTATTATGGAAATATGTATAATTAATTAGTATCAAGGTTTCAATAAGATTTCGTTAATCAAGCATGTTATATTTTTGTTCAAACTTATGTCTCGTATGTTAGATTAGTTCAATTCTTTAAGATAAAAGAACAGATTTCCAGGACTATAGACGGTTGTTCAAGAAACTGCGGCAATATCTAACGGGTAAGGTAAACATGCACCTATACCAAGATACATTGTATTGAAGGTATAATTTCAAAATAGAAAAAAAGATTTTCTTGGAAACACACCTGTAGCTTAGGGACTTATCATCAGTCGTTGCTACAACTATTGTGGGACGCCTTTGTAGCCTCCTTGATTTTCACAGTTTGCTACTGTTCCGTGTCAGCGCTCTAATTTGAGGTTATGATACAAATATGAATTTGCATTACATTGTTCACGCTTTTGATTGATATCATCTGTTATATCAACCTGCAATTTCCTACAATTCAAAAAGAAAATATAGCCGCACAATAGGAGAGCGCTGGCCCTGACACGGAACAGTGGAAATCTAGAAACACCACATCATTTCTGAAGGAGAGAAAATACTATGAAATTCAAGAAGGCCATAATGTCATCCTACAATTGTAGGAATGACTGACCATACGGCTCTTAGAAACAACTTTCCTCTCCTCCAAGAAGAAAAAAGAAAATTATTGTCAACGTGAATGGAACATCCATTGCATTTTTGTCAGTTAAGAATAACTTAATTTTGACTCCTATGACTATGGCCAAGCGACTGAAGATCATCAGGTTGTAAGCTTGCACATAAGTTTCATTATTTTTGATAAAACAGTATCCGTGTATGTATTACCTGCGACACCTCCGGCACACAGCATCCTAGGTGTAGAAGGAGGTTCTGGGTTTTCTGATCTTGTAAGGTATTCATATACAAAGAAGTAACTTGCAAACGAAGGTACCTCCCTAAGTATGGTTAGCGTGATACCTCTGTTCAGTCCTTTAACGCCCTCCTTCTTGTATATGTTCTTGAAGCATTGGTAAGTGCTCTGGCAACCATCAGTAGCTACCTGTGAATCAGTTTTAATAACTATCACAGTATTTGCATCCAGTATTGGACCAGTATTCTATGTAATTCACTTATATGAGGGTTGATCAAGGAATAAGGTTTCAAAGAGCTCATGTCAAAGTGTGCTGCAAAACTTTGCTGCGCCGCGCATTCGTTCCATAATTCGCATTCTGCACCCCAAAGGAATTCTACTCAAGAATATTTATCGTAACATGACAGGTGTATGGCGACAAGTGTAAGACCGTTCACCACGTCCGACAGTAGTGCAGGGAGTTTAGTGCCGACCGGAAAGGAATGATCCAACGCGTAACAAGTTCCCGGTAGGTGATTCTTCTATTTTGAAGTACTTCGCGTTGGACCATTTCGGTAACTGCCTCCAGAACTGCCAGTGGTCCACTCTGCTTTTCATCCTGTACTTCTTTCCGAGCAGCACTAAGTTCGCTGCATCATTTCCGGACATCTTCAACGGATATACACTTGTCGCCACACACCTCTGTCATGTGAACAGATGGAGTTCCCTTGGCGTGCAAGCGAGTTATGAAACGAATTTTGTACATAATATAGTATAATATAATATAATATAATATAATATAATATAATATAATATAATATAATATAATATAATATAATATAATATAATATAATATAATATAATATAATATAATATAATATAATACAATATAATATAATATAAGTTTAGCTTCTGGCTGAAATGAATATTCTGAGACTGTATCATGATTCAAGAATGTCTGAAGCCGAAAGACAAGTGAAAAAATCAAAATTAAAAGTCCATTCAGAAAAATATTGCCAAAAGCAGTAAATTTTACCGATTTCCGATGCTGTACATGTAGGGGAGTAAGAAAATGTCTATTTATGCCTTTTATAGCTCAAATTCAACTAAAATCTTCAGGTTGGGGGTATTCTGCATTGATGATCCACTTTCTTTGATTTGTGATTTATTTATTCGATTATGTATGAGCTCAATTTTCTATAAAATAATTTTTTCCTGCCGCGAATGTGGATTTTTTAACCGAAACGTATCGACGTTGTCATTTTTAACAAATTTTCGAAAACATCTCAGGAGAAATAGGCACTAACAACGACAGTAGAGTTAAGTCAAACAAATGGAAAACGAGGGGAAATATTTTCAGTAGGTGAAAAACGGAAATTAATCTCATCATGTTTGGCGATTTTCTATTTGATATAATCACTGATTATTTAAGTTAGACATAATATATTATTTACGATAGCGTTCATGATATATTTTTCAATATACCTGCATTCTGGACTTAACCAGCTCCACAGGTCCACAAACAAAGCTCTGCAACAACCCTGCAGCTGCACCTGCCATCGCATGCGACTTGAGCGAGTCCGGATCTGATATGTTACGAAGGCACGTGCCGTATACCCCAAATACGATGGCGTTCACTCCTGCGACACCCATAAGGGGGCTGGTGACACCCCTATAGAGGCCTCGCACCCCATCGGTCTTCAGCAAAGTCGTGAAGCAGTGGATGCTCCCTTTATACTTCGGGTTGCGGAGGTCCTGGGATTGGAGAAGGACTTTTACGCTGTCCAGGGGGTGACCAACCAATACTCCCGCAACGCCTGAAAAATATTTGTTTGTGTTTCATTATTCCACTCTATTACCACACAACGCCTAAATTATATTCGCGGGTGCCACTAAAAAAAAAAGTTAGTTTGGAAAATTTACTTTGAAAAGATAGAGATGGAGATGGAGCTAGGAACTCTGAAATTATATTTGGATGGCCCAAGTTGACTATCTCCAGGTAGAATACGTTAAGCAAAGGTGCCACCAATTGAGGCGAAGGATAAAGGAGATCCCTATGGGTGTCCAGAGTTGATTGAGACCCATTGGAACAACGAAAACAGGTAATAAAGACTTACTTAAAAATTGAGCTTCCATTGGGATCTTGGCTAAGGGGTCAAACAGGTTGTACGTAAAACCAATACTGCGAGTGTTCGTTTTTAGGACAGGTAAAAATGAAAAATCATGAAAACACATTCAGCTATCTAAACATGATAACTAGAACTACTACTAGTACTTCACGTGTAGTTTTATTGTCATCCCAATGAATATAAATCGAATTTCTAGGAAATTGCTCAACAACAGGAGTTATTAGGTGTGAATCACTGGGGTCAGTTTCATACCAGGATAAGGTTTGGCCATGTTTTGATGTCTATTCCTTAGAATGGTTTGGTATGATTTGAAATTGAGCCAAATTCATTTGCTGAAAAAAGAAAATGGCAGTCATTTGTGTACATAAGGATGTGTCCACCAGGATTTCCTGCGATAGTTCGAAAACTATAAGCGCTGGAGTAAGTATGGTCAAGATCTTAGAAAATCCATAGAATTATCTATAGTTTCACAATGATATTCAGCGACTAGCCAATTGTTTAGAATATAATCGCCTCCCAATATGAAGACATGTCGGCCGTCATCCGCCTCGGCATTGCACTATGCTACTTTGCCACAGGTAATATGTGTCAGTCGCCATGAAAAACTAGACAATCATATTATAACATAATTGCGTGCTGTCTAAAGAGCTTGTAATATCGTCTTGTTTTAAATATATATGAAATTACTTCTTAAAATCCGAGTTTCACTGACAGGCGGGAGCAAGAACCACTGTTCGCAACGCGATTGATAACAATTTACAATGCTTGTAGAAAAAAGGTGACTCAGCTTGTAGATGCCCCAAAATGTTCCTCTAATTATCCTTTCTGACTTTACCTTCCACTTTGGTCGATAAGCTTCACAATAATCTGACCAAACCAGCTAATGAATCATGTCAATCTATAGCCTGTTGGAACCATAAACTTACCAGAAGCAATTGATACCATTATATCCTTAATAAACTGTATTTTGAAGGATAGATATTGCAGTTGTATTGAATCGATTTTTGGAAGTGCTCGAAGATGAATTTGTGTTGATGTTTTCAACTGCTGCCCCAATGTAAAGGTCAAAAAAGGAATTTTCAGTCAAATCAATAGAATAAGATTTGAGGCTACTGACGACGGTAATCTAGCTAACATTTAATAATAATAATAATTATTATAATAATGAAACGTCTATATTGGACGAAGTAGAAGCTAGTATTCCGCTTAGCCCCTAAAAGTCAATACACAAAATAAACAATCTAAGCAATTTATACCCCTGAGAATGCAAAATTTTTAACAGACAAATAAATCAATCAACTGGTTAAATTACTGAACAGTATAGCATGGGAAAAGTATAACATTATACATAATTGTGAATGATCTACACCCATACGATATAAATTTATGTTAATGACTGTTCGAAAATTAGTTTTTTTCAAATACTTTTTAGTAATCTTAGAAATTTAAGGTTTTCGTTCTGAAATTCCGAAAATTATCCATCTGGCTATATAAGTCAAGATTACCTGCAGCTTTTCACGAGCTTTGGAACCTCAACTCCATGAAAGTTTCCCTTGCTCCCTTACATGATCAGTTCTATTCTGGCATAAGCCTGGCTGTACCTATATTACCAAATTGATGGATGTTGTCTTTTGAATTATGTCTTTGAACACTACATGTTGTCTTAGCTAGATTCAGAAAGTGCAATTTGAATTCCTTACAGAGAGAAACCCTGAAGTTTTCGACATTTTTCGTGTTGCAATCCACTTAGGGTTACTGTGTGATACCATCTGACTATAACAAGCCTAAACTTGTTATTTGATCTGTGAGTAGGGGATGTCGAGGTATGCGTATGTGATGCGTGAAGAATTTATATATAAAAACTTAATTTTTTACATTTACATTTGTAGATTTACAAGAAAAAGGTCACAAAAACCTAAATCCCATTCTTTGTTTCTAGAGGTGCGTCACTGTTTCAGTCGGGTCACAAGTCGCTATTGTTACGATAGTATTACATTAATAGTTTTTACCTACCTCCAAACCATCCTGCTATAAAATCAAGAGACATTCCCTGGGCTTTCTATATGATAAACGTCTACGAAAAGCGTAACTTTCAGAGGGGTTGATAGGAAACAAATCGCGTGATGACTTCCAAAGTCTTGAGTTGAAGAGGATCTTACTATTGACTCCATGTACTGTGCAGACTAGATCTGGAAAAAACAGTAAATTATCAAGTTATAACTAAGTAAATATTTCCAAGATAAATTTTCTATCATGCTGTCTTAATGTTGGTTTTCTCAGTGCAATAGAATGCTCAGCAAAATATAGTGTTGCACGTTGGTTCAGCCCGCGAAGTAAATTAGTCCCTACGAGTATCAGACTTGATATGAGCAGAAATGATTATAGAATTAAGGAAGACTGGAGTTGTACTAATTTTTTTTTCAACGCCGTTTATATAATCCTCTTATGAAGACGAAATATTATTTAAAACAAGAAAAGGAAATATAGCTATTTCTATTCAGGTTCTCTAAACTGTCATCTCCTTTATTACTGTGAACACCTTAATTATAGCGCTCTACCTGAACTGGTAACTCAATGGATAACTAGATATATAATATTTTAAATTCATGTAGTCACTTAAAACACACCGAAAAGAGCTCTGTATCTAGCTTCTGTTTGTCTTTGACACCTTTTCGGTATACTAGCCGTCTTTTTTCTGGCGCATTCGCTATTAGAAAAACAAATTGCTCTAGTGTGATATATTTCCTGAAGCCTGATCGGTGCCTGTATTGCGTGTTTTTGATTTGTAGCTCATTAATAGCCTCAAAGACGTAGAAAGTTTTAAGATATCAATGTTTTCAAGCTGCTAGTACAGTGTCTCTACAAAGCGATAAAGGATAATTTCGCCGTTTTATAATCACTGTTTATAGAAGGTTTTTTGCATGTGAGGATCTGTAAAGGAGCTACATATTGAAATCACGTTAAACAGGTAGTTATTAGACTAAATTTATCTAGGTCATAAAAAATAACTCGAAACAACCGAGAGCCAGCCATAAAGGTGAAAATATATTTGAAATAGTTATTGTTTCGTACCACTTTGGAAATCTGGCTGAACGAACAAGATTTGCAGCAGGTTGTAAGCTCAATGTACTAGTAATTTTTGGAGTCAGCTATAGTGTTTTGAGAGACATTGAACAAAAAAATTATTTCATTGTTTGGAATATCTACTGTCTTATTGTGTAAAATAAATTAGCACCCTTCTAACGTATTAGCTTAATTTAAATATAATCTACATGTTTGAAATTGAACGAAACTCGAAAACGACTGATTTTCGAACATACGTATACATTATTTATAGTTTGAAATTTGTTTTAATTTAAATAACCCGGTCACGTCCAGGAACCCAATTATTCAAATAGGGGAATCAAATGCTAGTAAGAGGTGTTTTATTACAGCTTCCGACAGCTTTAGGTGAGTGTTTTGACGTTTACCGAATAAATTTGCGAATGGTATTTTCGTCAAAATAATGCGTTCCTATATTTTCGTTGCTAATGTACCGTCAATTTCAAAGTCAAACATAAAGATAATTTTCGACATATTAATTCTATTCCAGTATGAAAACTGGACTTTTGCCGAAGTTATGCAATGCAACTTGTGATAGTAATCATTTTGATCCATGTTTTGCAAAGCGAAGTTCATCCGTCTCCCTGTTTACATACTCGAGCCTGTAGCGAGACTGCAGCCGTAACTATTGGTTCAGGAGTTTAGTAAATAATAATGAATAATATTGTCGATGCAAAATTATGTTTGCATTGCCATAAAGAATGGTGCTTATGCAGAAGGGAGCTACTAGACTAAGATGAATGCAATCATGATCCAAATTCATTAGGAGAAGGAGTGGAATATAGTATCTAACCGCCAGAAATTATCTGACAGTACTAAAGTTGCCTTGTCCAATCAAACGATGTGACAATTTAACTACCGATCATAATACGCAAGCGTGTATTATACAAGTCGTGGCAAATTTTTGGTATATACTGCATAACCGTCTCTAGTTTCCTATACACTGAAAACAATTCGACAAAAAACCCTCTCCGTTACCAGGCGATCAACTTTTGAAAATGAGGGACTAAAATATATAGAATACTAGTACAAACTGTTCTACTATCTTTCTGGCAGCTGTTGATGTCTGTTCTGATGTTTATCAAATACATCTGCTGAAACGTTTCTAGGTTTTTCCTTATCATTTATGGCCATATAGTCAGTCATTCCTACAATAATTGCATGATGCCTTTATGGCCTCCTTGATTTTCATAGTTTTCTACTGTTCAGCGCTCTATTTTGAGGTCGTGTTATAAATATCTGTTTGCATAAAATTGCTCATGCTTCTGATCTATATCTTCTGTTATATCAGCCTGAAATTTCCTAGAATTCAAAAAGAAAAGATAGCCTCACAATAGGGTAGCGCTGACGCTGATACGGAACAGTATAAATCTAGAAATATCCCAGTCTTTCTGAAGGAGAGGAAATACTATGATAATCAAGAAGACCATAAAGGCATCCTACAATTAGTGTAAAAACGACTGACGACACGGCCTTAAGTAAAACTGATAGACCAAAGCCGGAACTCCTTTCCCCTGAGTGATCACGGGATCAGTGTATCAGTTCCCCGGAAGATAATAAAACCACACCCACTTCCTATTAATAGAACCATTCCTTGCTTTCAGGCCTTAAAAATATGGAACAATTTGTCAAGGAAGAGCTTTTCACGATTCTGCACATCTTATAACTTATATAGACAATAAATTTGAAGATGTTTGATGACAACCGCAAGTAGTTGAGTATCTGTTCTGGTGTAGTACAGAAAAGTAAAAGTTTCTGTGTTCGAAAATGGGAGCTTATATTTTTTGACACTCTCACACTCTAAGATTCACCTGCCGGTTTTTCTCATACCTCTGGAATCTTGATCTAACTATTATTTAAAACATATTGTACTAGGAAAATCCCTCCCCCCCCCGTTAGTAAAGAAACCCGCAGTCTAGGAGCACATTCAATGAACATTTTTTTCAACTTGGCCGCTCTAGCAGCAAAGCTACCGATTTCGATAGGTAATCTTCAAACAGCAATTTTGATGGCCCCACTACGACAGTGAAAGAAATTTCTTTGAACGGTGGTATGTATATCAAAATAATTCATGCCTCCTTTGTGGTTGGTTTTGATACTGCACTGCTGTGGTAGATCACGGGCATCAAAAAAGGTCTCATCTGAACTGAAACTTATCCCGAGGTTGTTTCACTGATTTATTCCCATGCGTCAGCTTAACGAGCGGTGAAGCATGGAATTAAAGTAAAATATTTTAATGATAGCTCTACATACCTCTTTGTTAAAATATTTTCCACAATTCATGCTCCAAATTACACAAAAAACTAATAAACTAAAGCGGCTACTAATACTTGATAATACTTTTAATGCACAAAAATGCGCGAGATGAGTTTATAATCAGCGAGCTCTCCAAAACTGAAATACAAACTGTCAGTTGGAATATACTGGTGGATATATGGTTGGATATACAGTAGGGTCAAAGATAAAACCTGACATCCTGGATAAGAATGTGTAGTTTGTGGATGGTTGTTGTTGTTGAAATAAGTCGAGATTTGTAAAGGAGCATAAATATTATTCATCTAAAGTGTGATAATGTACAGATCACATGTTCTACTAGTATGCTGAAAGGCTGATAATATTATTTTATCCATTTCCCGCATATTCTAAGAATTGGTAGCTAATAGTAATCATTAGCAGCAAGTGTTAGAAGTAGTGTCAACCAGCCAAAGACATATATTTTACTTTTCGATTTAATATAGCAAATAAGATATAAACTGATCGATGCTGTCAAGTTCCATAGCTAGGGATGACACAGTAGTATCACATTGAAACAGGTCTGGCTTTAGTTTATATCGGTAGCAAATTAGCAATGAAGAAAATATTAGTTCGTCTTACAACATACTAACCTTCTTTGTATCTACGTTGGATTGCGGACATCGCATCAAGAGAGCACAAGACACCACGTTTATTTGCAATAGCAGGTACAAAATAACGATGGGAATAGTGTCCAAAAAATAAATAGTTCTCGAAAAAACCCGGCTAAGTCATACAAATCTTTAACGGATGACACTTTGACAGGTTTGTACGATATATACCTTGGCCTGACCCAGTGAGGTTGGTATTGCCTGGAGATTCTATATCAATGGCTCTACTACTTAGCTGGAGGAAACTCATGATTTTCAAAACAGTCACACTAAGAGTTTTTAAACTTTATAGGTAGAAGATAAAATATCTTTTGAGCCTTTTTCTAAGGATACATCATTTGACATAACAGTTTCTAACAGTTGGAAGTGACAAGAAAGATTTTAAAAGGAAGGTAACAAGTCCTCCTTATTTTCTTATAATTTGCAAAGTCAGGTTAGCGGTTATCAATATGATGATAGTACTCCAGTCTCTGCCCGATAATTTAAACCACATATGTTTTAATTATGGCTTGTTGTACATTTTGGCCATGGTGGCTTTTTTCAAATACAATGACAATTAATGATAATATATTCTTGTTTATCTGTCTTCCTGGTGACAGCTTATGAATTTTTTCTTTGCATAATTACTGTACAGCTTGTTGCGATAATAACCTGAGCCATCATTACAATTTTAAGGTGACAAGCGAGCATGAGGTTATTTGTCGTCTTTCTAATGTATCAGATACGTCACCATCACCCATTTCCCTTGTCACTTTGGAAAGCTAGACGTTCTTTGGAAATGGGAATGCCCATCCCAGGCGATCATGGGCCTTTCTGGTTTTGCGTGATGCTACCTTTAAATTGTAATGATGACACTCTGTATGGTAATAAATAAAACAAAAAGTACTTGAGATGTCACTTGGAAGACAGGTAAACAAACTATGTTATATTGACATTAATTTTCATAGTTCTTGAAAAAGCCAGAGTGGTGGCCGAAACGTCGTACAAAATACGGTAATTCAACGTAAGGGTTTGAAATCAGCAGTCACTGTCCGAAAGTGCGAAAATCGAAATGAACATTCTTTCACACTTCCACTTCATTTTACGTTATCAAAACCTTATGAAGCAAGTCGAGACACACCTAGACATTTACTAAGAACATATTTCTCAGTTCTAATACAAGCTGTTTTGTAGGTGCCCGAGCCATCGAAGAATCATAAACAAAAAGATGCTCGTGGATCGTTGACGTTTGTTCGATTACATAGACATGAATATGATAAATTAGATGTAATAAAATGGAATATTTGACTGTAATAGGGATTAATAACTATTATAACCAGTATCAGTACAATTTCATCCCTGATAGTTACTTATTTTGCTGATAGAACTAAACAACCCAGTCTTCTATTTTCTTCATAAATATTTTTTTTATCTTAGAAAGTGAATAAACGGATATGTGACGATCTATTTTTTATTTCTTAGCCGCTTAGGTCAACTCCACTTAACCTCAACCAGGTGTCAGACTTATACAACATTTTCAGGTTGACACTTTTGAGAGTTAAGTGTCTTGAACAGTGTTTAAATGCTTTGGGGATACTTCTGATCAGTTTGCAAATATTAAATATAAAGTATAAAATCAAACAAGTAAACCTTAGAGTATGCCGACCTTACGATGTATTCTCAGCGTAAGATAATAAATAGGTAAGTTACCATTATATCTGTTTCTCCAAAAGCTATCACCTGACGAATTAATATTCCGCCTTGTTAACGATTTCCGTTACTCAGCCCCAACTTCAAATTCTTAATAACGTAACTTTAAGTTAGTGTCGGAATGTCTGCTCGAATTTCGGTCTATTTTGATGATAATGCTAAGTAAAATCGTAATTAGAGAATTTCATCGTGACCGTCTTAGCTAATTATTTGATGTATTTGACTATGGTTAGTTTATTACGTTTCAATAATTAATGCAATAACGACCAACCTGTTGCACTTAATTGATGTCACCTATAGAATGTTGGTTGGAAGATAACATTTTTGAATTTTAACTACTGTGAGATTTATGCAGGATATACTTACACTGTACAAATACAGCGCCGACGTAACCATACCTCCAGCAGCACTTTTCAAAAGAAGAAAATATCCATATTCTCGCACTGATATGTTATCACACAGTCAAGTTTAGCAACGTTTTAGAATATATGTTTGTCAAAATAAGATATCCCACACTAATTTAACTATTTGCTCTCCAACTTTCGATCAAAAGACCCGGTAATATAAAATGAGGCTGAACTTCTTGTCGTACTTCAGTAGTGGACGCTTTAAGATTATTCACAGCTATGTGTCTTATTTTGGGTGCAAACAGAAAATTCCATCATTATTAATAAGTTATTTGTCTCTCGGCATATTTCGTAACCCAGCAGCTTAAAAATATTCCAAAAAGTTTTATCACGTTGTTGGTCCGCGACCACATCGCATCAAAATTCCTAAATACTGATTGAGAAGTGGTACCAGCTTTCCGTGTTATTTGAAAAGCTTATCTCTTCACATTTGGTACGATCAATACCGGATATTTTAGAATGGAATAGAATATACTGAAGCAAATTACAAAAACAACACAGCACAATATTCATTCCACACTTTACATGTCCAGATGAATCCAAAACAGGTAATAAAATAGAGTAGGTGCGATACCTCTGTTTTTACTTTCATGTTAGTGGATTCCGTTTAGAATAGAACGATATGTTCAATTAGCTCCAGAGACCTGTGCAGTGGAAGGGGAAAAATTTGGTGGAAAATTTGAATACGTCAAAATCTCACTAGATCATCAAAGAGCACGTTAGGCAAAGCAATCAGCTGATCATGTGAGATATCTATCATAGCTACCGACGTTGGTCATAATCTCAAATATGTTGTCATGAGCGTTACTACTGCTGATTGGTATTTTCAGATGAACGCCGATTTGAGCAATGTAACTTAAACAGTAACATATCCTGTTTTTATGACATTATGCAGGTTTTTATATAAAATGTCACCTTTAAACTAGTTAACCAGCGCCTGCCTAGTGCACAAGTTGGCATCTTACCGATTTTTTTGAGATTATATAGGTATTTTACGTAATAACCCTTACGGTAGCTCCTGTTTACTGATTACCACTGTTGTTTAAATAAAGAGATTATTTTGACTGTTCTATTATTTTGTTGTATGTGCCACATTTTCTAAAATTTATTTGTATCTTCACCATTAAGATAATCAACAGTAATATAATCTAGTACTATGGAAAATATTTACTAGCCAGAATTCTTGTTTTTCCCATCTTCAAGAAGAAAAACTATGCTCATACAGACGAGATGTGAAGAAATCGGAGTTTCAAACTATCAGTCAGGGTGCGCACCACGAACTATGTACAGGCGGCGCTTTTAAAAAAAGTTTTTTAAATGGAAAGCGGCAATGTGACAGCTCACTTTGCAGCTCCCTATGGGTACCTCGAGCTCTAGAATACAAAATGACTGCCTTTAAATACGGCTGTTGAGTTTGAACGTTTTTGTGCATTGAGTAGACCTTATAACTCAATAACCAACTGTTGAAATGCTATGGTATATAGTATAAAATAATCTTCTTCTCTTGGAAGGCTGGAAGGGTGTATCTGGATAATGTAATAAAGTATGGTACATTTCATTCAATCAAATTGTGAGAACCTTAATTTTTTTGATTAATGTCTCACATTTTACTGCTACTCTACACACTACAAGGTCCTGACGACTAGATGTTAAGTTACAAGCGACTCATTGAGACCGTTTAGCCAACATAAAGCGGTCCAGCACTTTATGTTGAATAGCAGTAGCGACGAAATAGCTTCGATTGTTTGCAACACTCATCAACATACTATCAAATCTGATAGCCAAGTGGAAACTGCTGCCAAACTGTCAAAGCTATTCCATGACTACTCATATTCAGCTTAAAAGCTCTGCACCCCTGGAACGCTTCGCGTTGGTTGAAAGGTCTCAATGTACAAAAAAGCTCAACTTTGATAGCCTGCTAGTCCGAAATGTCCAACTGTTTTGTTTACGTTGATAGTATTCATGAGTCACTTAAATCATCCAGAATTTCAGTCCTTGAAAAGTAGACTTTTGTAGGTTTTTTTTTGACGTTACGTAGGTTTTCCTTCAAGATGGAACTTGCAACTATCTGTCGTTCACTTCATGCTCACTTGTACCGGTTGCGGAATGAACTAGCAGCTGCCTAGTGAACAAGTTGACATTTTGTCGGTTCTTTTACGTAATGACCCTGCCGATTTGACTGAAATTTCGAAGCAAGGTTACTATTGTGTGAAGGACGAAAAAGTTAAGTCCTTCATGAAAATCGATTCAGTGGCGGCGGAAAAAATACCAAGAACAAAAAAAAGTGCAAATCGTCCAAAATACAAAATTTGAAATAATCTTTAGGGGTCTAAATTTGGTGGTGGGGGTTGTTTGATGTTAGAATACTCATACGTTCCCAACTTTGGTAATTCGAAACATCTATTTGACATATTTCACACATCATAGATTTATCCGTACATTCGCTCTTAAAACATTCGCTCTTAAAACAAAACAAAAAATTCGCAGCAGATGGGGGGCGTACATGTAGGATGCGTCTGCTTCTACTCCCGGCATCGCGGCGGCCTTTGTAAGTGTCCTGGCATTCCTGCCTCCTCTGACACTGGTGACCGGCAGGGATATTTTGTAAAACACCTACAAAGCGTCAAAAAAGCAGACGAAATGTCATTTTGCGGACTAGTAGTAGTAGTTTTTATTGTGCAAATAGTTCATTCCACGTTTGCACGCTGTGATCGCTGCTCGCTCAGGTTTATGCAGCACGTACAGCTACAAAACGAGTTCACAAGTGTACAACAGCTTATGCTAAACCTACGAAATATCAAAAAAAAAAATCGAGAAAATGTAACATTTCAAAATACGTAATACACGTGCTGGTTGAGGTATCGGGCAGAGACGACGTTGCCAGATGGACTACGGTACGGATTTTATGTACCTTGAAATGTAACATTTTGTCATTTCTTGTGACATAACGTAGGTTCTTCTTCAAGACATCAACTTGAAACTAGCTGTCGTGCACTTCATGCTCGCTTGTTGCATAGGCGGAATGAACTAAAAACTACCCAGTCTGCAAGATGGCATTTTGTCAGTTATTTGAAGGTTTTTAGGTTTCTTAACTAATACCTCTGCCGGTAGAGCAGGGCAAGAGTGTATATAGACTAAGTGCACGGACCTCTCTCGTAGACTTTTTTCTCAGAGAATGCAGCTTGTGATAAACATAATCGCTCATAAACTCATGACGACGTTGCGAGGGAAGTGTAGGGTCAACCTCCTTGGCGCCATTTTTATAGTGAGGTAATAGTGAAAGCATGTCCTTATCAAGTTACTGTAACTGCTACAGATAGCATAAAAGCAAGAATAAAAAATATCTTGAAGCTGTTTTACGACGGCCTAAAAATGGCAGAATAAGAAAAGTCCTTCTGTGTGCTCCACGTCATTCATAGGCTAGGAACTAAGGACCGATCATGTCATCCTGTTCACTACATTTTAAGCTTGAATGAATCGAAGCAAAATCCTGGCGGACCCGTTCAATAGGTCTAAAACGAGACAGTATAATGGAGAAGAGCTTAGAGAGCAAAAGCTCGTATAAGTAGAAAATTCCAGATTTCCCCAACCGTCTTTGGATGCTTTAGATTGCTTAAGATTGATATCTGTTATTTGTAGGCTGCTTTCAATTTCTGTTTAATCACGTATGTCTATTGTTTGTAAGTAAAAGACATTGGAAACGGAAGAAATGTTGAAAAAATACACCAGTTAGATCATGACCCGTTATTTTTCCAACGGACGGTCGATGAAATGCAAGACAGACCGTGATAAATGGATTGAGCAAGATCAGTTCTGTCAACTGAAGTTACTGAATCGGAATAATTATTGTTGAAGGTTCTCTAATCAGTTAAGAATGTTGTTGTGATGTAGAGTGATACTTTATATGTACTCGTTTTTTGATATAAATCGGAATGTTTAGTAAAAAAAAACTGTAACCTTATTATCGATTTGTAGTTTTAGAGCGATTTGCTAAACAAGCGGTCAATGCGTATAATAAACAGTGGCGGATGTAGAAGGCAAATAGGCTTGATAGCCATACATAACTGAGGAAACGGCAATCACGAAGAAGAAACATTGACTTATATACACTTTTTTTATATTCCAACTACCACGAAGGCCTAAGGCCTAAACACCCATGGGGTACCGTGGAGCTATAGGGGGATACAGGGGAATCGGGGGACGTCACACGGACTCTGGCGAGGGAACACGTGTGCATGCAACATGCACACCTTCTGGCCTCGCCTACGAGATCCGCCGGGTGGTACCTCTGCGTTCGACACTCAGAGACCGTCTACCACCTACGGACAATCACAACATCCATTGCCAAGATAAAAATTTCTCTTGGAATGGGATTCGAACCCGCACAGCGCACGACGACTGATCAAGAGACCGAAGAGTCTAAACTCTGGGCACTGAAGAAAGACATTAAACGTAAACAGTGATCAGCACGTGAACAGATCCCTCGAAAGCATCCACGGATATACTCCAGTCACTTTAGGTCTAAACATCCTCGGCAGTGTATTTCTAGTGAATCCACAGACCCTTTTTCGTGTCATCTTGAGACTAGAAAAAGGATGACTGTTAAAATAAGTTACCTTGATCTTTCATGAGCTCTCAGTACAAAACATCATCGATATATTTTTGATGTAGGAACAACAAATTGGTTTAGAAAACATCCACTTTGAACCTAAATTGACTGGAGTAACATCTCTCTTCAGACAAATTCAAGGTCACTAGCAGTCGTCGGCGCTCTACGAATCTGCACAGGTTTGGACTTGTAAACGTGATTGTAGATGACACGACAGGCATCTAACAGTTAATCCACGCACAGGATTGCATTGCATACGCATTACGCATTCAGTAGCGTATACTCGTTTTTCGCGAGTGGAACGTTTTGTTTATATATTGCCTAAGATACGATGTTTGACACAGATACAGCCGACGAAGTGGTTGACATCAGCGCAACCCCACCCAAAAAAAGGGCTAAGAAGCTACATTTAAGTGCAAATGAAAAATAATATTAAATATATACTTACAAAAACCAAATTCAAGAAAAACCCGATTTGGTCGTGGACGAAGTTATATGTAAGGTAGCACATATTTCTGGAGTATGTCGGTCCAGTGTTTATAGGATCATTAAGGAATATAGGAGCACTCACTCACTTTCTGAGCCAAAACCGTATCCTGCAAGAAAAAGGATAACGGACGGAGTAGATGACTTTGACAGAACTGCCATCAGGAGGAAAGTGCATAATTTTTTCTTCCGAAATGAGATACCTACAGTAGATAAGATATTAAGATTAGTTAATGCTGATGAGGATCTTCCATCATTTAAAAGAACCACATTCCGAAAACTGTTGAAGGAACTTAATTT